CAGAGCTATTTCTCAGATAGTTTACACAACCTGACCTGTTTTTGCCTCATGCAGAATGTCTCTTCTGACTTCAACAGAAGTGCAGGATGCTGCTGTTTTGATGACGCCAATCTCCTAGCCAGGTCTGGAGAGAGGTCTGCATATCTTACTACAAAGGAATTCCCGGCACTGAGTTAGGACTTTATTTATTTATTTATTTATTTATTTATTTATTTATTTATTTATTTTTAACTTTCCCCGCCTGGCCTGGTCTGTCTCCAGAGTCCTTATCTCTTGGGCAGACGAGGCAGACTGTCACATCACCCACGTCTTTACCCAGTTGGTAAAAGTACATTGACCGATTTTCTCCATGGTCACAGGCATATGGGGTCCTGGCCATATACCAAGAGTCTTTTCCAGGTAGTATTGGAGGTTGAGTTGAAGTCCTAATGTCCAGCTCTCCAGAATGTGACCTTATTTAAAATATATTTTTATTGATTTTTCTTATAGAGAGGAAGGGAGAGAGAGAGAGAACTAGAAACGTTGATGAGAGAGAAACATCAACCTCTTGCACACCACACCCCCTACTGGGAATGTGCCCGCAACCAACGTACATGCCCTTGACCGGAATCGATCCTGGGACCTTTCAGTCCGCAGACCGACGCTCTACCACTGAGCCAGACTGGTTTCGGCAGAATGTGGCCTTATTTAAATAGGGTCTTTATAGAGGTGCAGATGTAATTAAGATGAGGCATTCTGGAATAGGGTGAGTTCTTCATCCAAAATGAGTGGTACAAAACGAGAGATAGAGGTGATCAGGCCAGCAAGGGAGAGCAGTTAGGGATGAGATCAGGCTGGCAGGGGTTAGGAGCGGTCAGGCAGTTGAGGGTGACAAGTAGGGGGCAAGATCAGGCTGGCAGGGAAGGGCAGTTGGGAATGACCAGGCTGGCAGGGGAGGGCAATTATGGGTGATCAGATTGGCAGGGGAGGGAAATTGGAGGCATTAGGCAAGCAGGCAGGTGAGTGGTTAGGAGCCAGTGGTCCTAGATTGTGAGAGGGATGTCTGACTGCCAGTTTAGGCCAATCCTAATAACTTGGCGGTCGGACATCCCCCAAAGGATCCTGGATTAGAGAGTGTGCAGGCTGGACTGAAGGACTACCCTCCCCTGCTGGCCTGATTGCCCCTAACTGCCTCTGCCTCAGCCCCCACCACCATGGCTTTGTCCGGAAGGAAGTTGGACGTCCGGAAGATGGCTGGTCGACCCAGTCTAATTAACATAGTACCTTTTTTATTGCAAAAATACATGGAGGGATTTCCACTGAAGTAAATAAAATCGAACAAGTTAAAGACATATACATAGTCAAAGGGAAAGTCCCCTTCCTCCAATCCCTATCCTTTGTCCAGAAAAAGCCACCAAACTAACTTGGATGTGTTTCTTCAGAACTCTTTTCTCTGCCTTGACATACACATTTGTATATATAGATATAGTGTCTTTTTTTGCATGAAAGGAATCCTTGTTTGTTCTTATGCAGCTTATTAAAACTCTACAATGTGTTTTGTAGATTTTTAAAAAATGTTTATTATTATTTTTTTTATCCTCTCTTGAAGATATGTTTTTTATTGATTTAAGAGATGAGAGGAGAGGGGAGGAGAGGAGAGAGAAACATCTATGCGAGAGGGAAAGATCAATCCGTTGCCTTCCATATTCACCCTGACTGGCAATCCAATCCAGGATCTAGGTATATGCCCCAACCAGAATCAAACCCATCACCTTTCCTTTGGTGTACAGGATGGTAGTTCAACCAGCTGAGCCACTTGACCCAGGGCTGTTTTATAAACATAAAAATATATTTTTATTGATTTCAGAGAGGAAGGGAGAGAAAGAGAGAAATATCAATGATGAGAGAATCGTCAATCAGCTGCCTCCTGCATGCCCACAACTCAGGCACATGTGCTGACCAGGAATCAGTGACCTCCTGGCTCATGGGTTTACACTCAACCACTGAGCCATGTGACTGGCTATTTGTAGATATTTTGATGTTAACTTTCTTTTTTCATAGATTCCATAGTAAGAATGTCTGAGTACTTACCATTCTATTGAGTGACATTGGGTCGTTTATAGTTTTCAGCATTATAAACTGCTTTCACACACACCCTGGTCATGCACCTGTCTGCACTAACTAGAAGTGGAATTGCTAAGTTGAAGGATATGCTTATATAAGGCTAGGAATTCAATAATGGATACCAATGCCTCACAGTTTCTGTGTCCAGAGCCTTTCTTCTAGTGGAAATTTCATCTGACTATGAAAATCAGTTTTATCCCTCCCTAGCCACCTGCTTCTTTATCTGCAGGGAAGTGTTGCCTGTATTAGCCTGTATTTATTACTCTGGGCCATAACAAAGAGAAAGAAGAAGAAAAAAAAATCCCACTAAAGATTTATTGCTAAAAACTCAGGTTTTTCTCCTATATTTTAAATAATAGTGGAGTTAAGTAATAAGAACAACATGAAACTGATAAATGAAGATCCATTACACTATATGGATTTAGATACACTGCTGTCGAGGTAATTGTCTCCAAACATCATAACACTCTCCAAGAGGTCCTCCTCCTCCTCTCAGCCCCAGTACCACAATGTGAGGGGTTATGTTGAGATCTTGTTAGCCCTGGTTTTATGATGTTTAGTACATTTCCCATACGAGCTCCCTAAATGACTGGTACCAAACCAAAAATAGGAAGTGGGAGGAAATTTAAAAAGCTTTTGCGTGTTTTTAATGTTTAAGAAAGTAAGTCTCTTGGTTAATTCACTGCTTCCCCACTCCCAAAAATACTTTGGGAGGTTGCTTAACTGGCCTGTGGGACCTGCAAGGAGAGGCAGGGCAGGCAGGAAGAATGGTTCCACAGAGTGAGTGGCTTAGAGAAGAAACCAATGGGGCAACTTTAGAAGCAGTGTGTGCTGCTTGCCTACCAAATCTATGACTTCTGTTCCCACATTGGAGATAATTGGGAGTTGCAAAAGAAATAGATCACTTTAAAATCCAAAGTTTTAAGTTAACTATTTTTATTGTCTCTAGCAAATTCACATGCTCATGAATGCATGCACATGTGCATGCAGGCAGGCTTGCAAGGGCATGTGTACTAGTTTATAGACATTATCTATGATGATTTGTATTGTGATTGATAATTCATCCATTCATTTGTTCATCCATCCACCAACCATGCATTGTATTCCACACATTAAAACAAGAACTTTTAAAAAATCAAGTAGCATATGGTTCAATATCTCCAAAACTTTGTCTAAAATTGATATCACTTTACTTCTAAAGATATTAATTTTCTTGAGGTATTCATATGCTTATCATACTTCCTTTTAAAACCAGGAAACTTGTTTATAATTTCAAATAAAGTAGGCTGTAAGATCAAACTAAATATTCAAAATGAGTTCTGAATTTTTATCTAATTTTGTGTGTGCAATTCTAAATATGACCACTAAATAGAGAATATGAGAATTTGTAAATGTTCTATTCTCTTTCTAATTTACCCCTAATTTCTTACAAAGAGAATTAGAGGCAGTATGCAATATTATATATTTTATTTCAGAGAAGAAGAGAACGGGGGAGAGAAACATCAATGATGAGAGAGAATCACTGATTGGCTCCCTCCTACATGTCTCTTACTGGGGATCCAATCTTCAACCTGGGCATGTGTCCTTGACCGCAATCAAGCCTGGAACCCTCTGTCCTCTATTCACGAGCCAAACTGGCTAGGGTGAGGCAGTATTCAATATTTAAATATGTCTATATAACAACACTATAAAATAATTAGAGGCAAAAAAATTATATTAACTGGATGTCACCAAATATCTGAATTTGGTTAATTTAGTTGAATATTAAGTTTAGCTATGTAATTCTGACAACCAAAGCAAATCATATGCTCTGCCTATTGCTAAGTGTGCCTGTGAGAGCTTGCAGGTGCCCCAGCTGTGTGATCACTAAGCTAATAAACTGCTAAGAGTAGTATGTGGGAGCTGTCTGGGCCAGGCTTTGACCACTAAGTAGGAGCCTCAGATTCCAGACCTGTTCTTAACTCACTTAGAGTGATTTTGGTTCTTTAAGAATCAAGCTATCTATCAAGTCAATATATTATTTAGTCAGATTGCCAAGCTATGTCCTTTGAACAATTTCTTGGTTCTTTGGGATCTCTGCCAATTGCCCTGCCTGACCATCAATGTATTAGAAAATAAAAGAGCTACCATAAACTTAATGCAGGAACAGAAACTGAGCCTTGGAGAGATTCAAGGTAACCCTACACAGGAATTAGATGAGAATTCATCCAGCCCCTGTTATTTTTAAATAAATTTCTGAGTTACTCATATTATAATCTGAAAACTGGCTTTGTTTCTCAAAATATTAACAGCAAAGACATAAGAAGCTTGCACTCCAATACAAGTCAACTATATCACTAAATACACGATTCAGTTCCACTAACCCTTTCTTTCCTGTCTCTCTCCTTCCCTCTTTTCCTCCTTCCTTCTTTTTAAAAGTTTTTGTATTTTTAGGTTTTTTTTTTTTTAGCAAGGCTGTTTTGCTGAAGAAAGCAGTGTATTGAATTACATTCTGGCAAACTCTTTGTCCCATTGTAGATGAGAAATTTGGTTAGGGGTCAATTGAGGTCAATGTGAAGTACTGGGTGTTGTGTAAATACAGAATGCCATTAATACGAGTGGGCAGGAGTCCTTGATAGCAGTCTTGTTCTAAACTAACTTGGAGTGAGTAAAAAATAATTGTGCAATAACTTGCTATTAGTTTGATGATCATGCACAAGTTGTACAAATAACTTTCAGCATTTGTGGTGGTATAAGAACATCTGTTAATTCACTCATTTGCTGTGTATTTATTAGATGTCTAGGAATAGGCTAATGTATAGATGTTGCTTAATATTTTTGCAGTGATGGAGTGGAAGAGCTAAGTAGCAATTATTAAATAGCATAAATATTCTTTCTCAAATTTATGTTATGTTATTCTTGCTATGCAAAAATGGAGAGAAACACTGAATTGCAGTAATGCTTTTTCTATTACTAGATGAGAATACTGAACTCTCTAGCTTAGAAAGGATCTTAGCAAGATGTCAATTTCCAAGAGAGATTTATATGACTCCAAAGCCAAGCAATTGTCCTCTGTGGAAAAGGAAAATCATCAATAATGAAAATCATGGATGGAAAAAGTGCCACTTGTTGAAAAAAAGCATAAAGGATCCCCCAATGTCAACTATAGTTGTCAGGTAGGTGTCTAACTTTGGTCATATGCAGATACATTTAGAAATATATGGGGTGATAACAAACTTTTTGCATCTTAACTAAAAAATGACTTACTGTTGTCTTTGAGATATATGGTAAGGATAAAAACAAGCATTGCTCTGTATAAAATTGCATGAACCCCATTTTCAAACACCCTCATTGAAAAACACACTCCTGGAGATAGGGACAGGTTTGTGGTTCCCTGTGGATCATTGCATTCTTGGTTATTGAGTAGAGACCTAGCAGGCCTAGAGTGGGATCCAACCCCTGAACAGTGGGAGCTTTTATGCTATACTAGAGTCCTGGTGTACAAAATTTGTGCATGGAGTCGGGGGGGGGGGGGGCGCGTGTCCCTCAGCCAAGCCTGCACCCTCTCCAATTTGGGACCCCTCGAGGGATGTCTGACTGCCATTTTAGGCCTGATTCTGGTGGGATCGGGCCTAAATGAGCAGTTGGACATCCCTCTCACAATCTAGGACTGCCTGTTCTCAACTGCTAACCTGCCTGCCTTCCTGATTGCCCCTAACTGCTTCTGCCTGCCAGCTTGATCACCCCCTAACCACTATGCTGCCAGCCTGATTGATGCCTAACTGCTTCTGCCTGCCAGCTTGATCACCCCCTAACCACTATGCTGCCAGCCTGATGCCTAACTGCTCCCCTGCCAGCCTGCTTACCCCTAACTGCCCTCCCCTGCAGGCCTGGTCCCCCTCAACTGTTCTCCCCTGAAGGCCTGGGTCCCACCCAGCTGCCCTTCCCTGCAGGCCTGGTCACTCCCAATTCCCTCCTCTGCCAACCTGGTCACCCCTAACTGCACCTCCCCTGCAGGCTTGATTGTCCCCAGCTGCCCTCCCTTGCAGGCCTGGTCCCTCTCAACTGCCCTCCCCTGATGGCCATCCTGCGTTCACATGGGGGCAGGATCTTTGACCACATGGAGGCAGCCAGCTTGTGTGTTGGAGTGATGGTCAATCTGCATATTACTCTTTTATTAGATAGGATAGAAGCCTAGTGCATGGGTTGGGGCCAGCTGGTTTTCCCTGAAGGGTGTCCTGGATCAGGGTGGAGGCTCCCCTGGGGTGTGGGGTGACCTGGGCAAGGGGCCTGTGGTGGTTTGCAGGCCAGCCATGCCCTCTGGAAACCCAAGCAGAGGCCTTGGTTTCTGGGGTTTATTTATCTTCTACAATTGAAGCTTTGTAGCCTGGAGTGGAGCCAAGCCTCCTGCTTGCTCTGTGGCTGTTTGGATTTGTTTACCTTCTACAATTGAAACTTTGTAGCCTTGATTGGAGGCTTAGGCTGGCAAGGGCAGGTGGAAAACTTGGCTTCCATTGGTTGCCTGCTCTCTGTGGCTGTAACCATCTTGGTTGGGTTTATTTGCATACTTGCTCTGATTGGCTGGTAGGCGTGGCTTGTGGGCATAGTGGAGGTATGGTCAATTTACATATTACTCTTTATTAGATAGGATGAGTCAGGAAGCACTGCCCCATCCCTAGCATGCCTAGAATACAACAGTATAAATGGTAGACATTGACTTTATCTTTAGTCTGCCACATTGTACACTCACAGAAATGGGAGCCTATTATAGGGTCTTAAAAAGAGGCTGAAATAATCTGTCTTGAAACCTCTCAGGCCTCTAGAGAAGAAAGTGTAGAGGCAGAAGATATCTTACTTTATATCCTAATTCAGCTTCTGAAAATACTGGTATATTATTGGAACATAGGAAATAATACATTTATTCATATTTTCTTGTATAAATGTTTATTTGCTTTCCTTAAAAACTGAAGTGATAAAATCAGGCACCTGTGACTTATTCTCAATTTCAGGGAGTAGTAATTCAGTGCTATGTTGGTTGTAGGTTTTTGTGGATTGCTTTTGTATATTTGAATAAATTCACTATTGCTGTTAGTTTGATTCATTTTTTATCATTAATGGACATTTAATTTTTTTTTAAAATATATTTTTATTGACTTTTCACAGAGATGAAGAGAGAGGGATAGAAAGTTAGAAACATCGATGAGAGAGAATCATCGATCAGCTGCCTCTTGCACACCCCCCACTGGGGATGAGCCCGCAACCAAGGTACATGCCCTTGCCCGGAATTGAACCCGGGACCTTTCAGTCCACAGGCCGACGCTCTATCCACTGAGCCAAACCGGTCCCGGCGACATTTAATTTTTTCAAATGCTTTGTCTATGTTCATTGAGTTGATCATATATTTATTTATTTTAAATCAATCTTTATTGTTCATATTATTACAAATCTTCCTTATTTTTTTTCTCCCTGCATTGTTCAAATTATTACAAGTGTTCCTCTCTCCCCATCCCCCTCAATTGCTCCCCCCCACCAGGTTTCCCCACCTCCCATTGTCCTCATCCATAGGTGCACAGTTTGTGTTCAGTCTCTTCCCACACCCCCCACTCCCCTTTTCCCTGAGAATCATCAGTCCACTCCCCTTCCATACCTCTGATTCTATTATATTCACCAGTTAATATTGTTCATCAGATTTTTTTTTAATTTCCTTGGTTTTTAGATTCACTTGTTGATAGTTACGTATTTGTTGTTCATAATTTTTACCTTTATTTTCTTTCTCTTCAGAAAGAACCCCCTTCAGCAATTCATGTACTGTAATTCTGGTTTGGCAGTGATGAACTCCTTTAGCTTTTTTTTTTAATTTGTGAAGCTCTTTATCTGACCTTCGATTCTGAGTGACAGCTTTGCTGGGTAGATTATTTTTGGCTGTAGGTTCTTGCTATTCATCATCTTGAATATTTCTTGCCATTCCCATCTGGCCTGCATGGTTTCTGTTGAGAAATCAGCTGACAATCGTATGGGTGCTTCTTTATAGGTAAATATCTGTTTCTCTCTTGCTGCCTTTAATATTCTCTCTTTGTCTTTTGCTCTTGGCATTTTATTTATGATGTGTCTTGGTTTGGTCCTCTTTGGATTCCTTTTGTTTGGGGTTCTGTGTGCTTCCTGGACTTGTAGGCCTAATTTTTTCACCAGGTGGGGGAAGTTTTCTGTCACTATTTCTTTCAGTATCTTGCTCTCTCTCTTCTTCTGGGACCCCCATAATTCTGATGTTGGCTCACTTGAAGTTGTCCCAGAGGTTTCTTACATTATCTTCAACTTTCTGGATTTTCTTGTCTTCTTGCTTCTGCAGAGGAGCATCTTCTGGCTCTTTATGTTCCAAATCTTTGACTTGATTCTTGCGATCTTCCATTCTGTTTTTAGGACCCTGTATATTATTTTTTATTTCAGACAATGTATTCTTTATTTCTTGTTTATCCCTTATTATTTCTAGTTGATCCCTTTTCATATCCTCATTTATTTTATCGGCCTTTTCTAGGAAATTGTTGAAAAACCTTATAAGCGTGGGTTTGAACTTTATATCCAGTCGCTTCTTGTCCTCTATTTCTTTTGTTTGTGATCTGTTTCCTTGTCTTGGCATTTTTGCAGCTTCCCTGAGTTGGTAGCCTTAAAAGTCTCTGTGTTCTGCTTGGATGGGGCTGAGTTTCAGGGTGGAGCCTACAGCCTTGGCTTCCGTCAGCCACACCCTATGAGGCTCCTGAGTCTCAGTATTCCTCAGGGTCCTTCAGTACTCCTTGCAAGCACCTTTGAGTAAGGTGCCGTTGAGTTTTGCGCGCTACCAAACAGTCTAGGCTCTCCCCCAATGAGCCCTGAACTGGGGTTCAGTTCAGTTAGAAGTGGGGTTCAGAGCAGTCTGGAGTTTTTGTCTCCTTCCTGCTAGGGCAATCCAGCAACACAGTCAACTGCCCGTTCTCTGCGAGCAATGTGCGCGCCTCCGGGACTTCCTTCCGCCGCTCCCCTGGGTTTCTGCCTAACAGCCCGGGCTCCCTCTGTATGAGCCTGAGTCCCCAGGGTCTGGCCTAGAACTGGTGTTCAGTGCAGTCAGAACTGGGGCTCTGCACAGTCTGGAACTTTGTCTCCTTCCCGATAGGGCAATCTAGCAGTAGAGTCAACGGTCCGTCCTCTGCATCTAATGTGCGTGTCTCTGGGGGCTGTGCCTTTCACTGCTCCCCTGAGATTCCGCCTAACAGCCCGGGCTCCCTCTGTATGAGCCTGGGTCCCCAGGGTCTGGCCTAGAACTGGGGTTCAGTGCTGTCGGATCTGGGGTTCAGCACAGTCAGGAGCTTTTATTTCCTTCCCGCTAGGGAACGCCAGCCAGGCACTCGGCCGCCCCTCCTCTCCGGTTCTGTCCTCTCCATGCACACAGCGTGTCTCCGTACCTTAGGCTTTTACATCTCCTCTGCTTTTCCTTCTGGTTTTCTCTTTCCTTCTCGTTGTAAAATTTCCAGTCAGTCGGCTTTCCTGTAGTTCTGGGTAATGTCCATTTTGTATTTTAGTTGTATTTTATTAAAATTGTTGTGTGAGACTGCAGTTAGGTGTTACCTATGCCACCATCTTGGAACGAGTTGATCATATTTAATTTTTACTATTGATATGGTGAATTGATTGCTTTTCTTTTTTTAAATCAATCTTTATTGTTCATATTATTACAAATGTTCCTCATTTCTTCCCCCCTCCACCAGGTTCCCACCCCACCCTCCGCCCCTCCCCATCCCCCATTGTCCTCATCCATAGGTGCACAGTTTATGTTCAGTCTCTTCCTCCCTCCCTTTCCCCAATAGCAAATCCCTTTTCAGATAGTAAATCAGTTACTTAGCATTTTCTCATATCAATAATACCTCCACATGCCCAATGATACACTTCACACAAAAGACATTTCCAAATAGGTCAATCAGCCTCATCCAGGCCCCACTCAAGGCACTCACCGATCAACAACCCAGCGCTATACTAACTCAACACATCCAGATCTAAGCCTTCATCACTTGATTCAGCAGACCCTCAAGTTCCCGCAAAAGTTTCCAGCCATGTCTGAGAGGCAGCCGTGGGGCAGGGGCAGGCGAGGAGCGAGCTGTTCCGGGCCTGGCTGCTCCGGGCCTCGCCTCTGTAGCTCTGGTTCATTCCA